TCAGTGGTGACATCCAAAGAACCTCCCCATCTAAGGAAATGCCTTGTCTTGCTGGAGTCAATCAGACTGTGTGCCATGCCACCTTGGTGAGACCTCAAATCCTATCCTGCCAAGATCTAACTTGTGTCATGTTGCCTGACTTTTATCTAATTCTTGAGTGACCCTGACCCCTGACCTTTTATGCTGTCCCCACATTCTTAGGCATGGCTGATGTTAAGCAACATAGGTACCCATAAGCAATCAAGCCTCTGTCCTCATACACCATTTTTATTCTGGAAGGCCTAGCAGGTGTCACACAGTTTGCACAGCAGCCTAACTTGGGGAGTTCCAAGAACCTGACCTGCTTAAGGCATCCTGCTACTTCCTGGCCTAGCTGAGGACAATCAGAATGTGTCCCATCACAGTCTGGTGAGAGCTCAATACTGCACAGGTCTGATATTGTTAGGTCTAGCTTGAGAGGCACAGTATGCATTTGAGCCCAGCCGGTGAGTAACCTGGACCTGTACACTGATAGGACATCCTCACCATCTCAGGCACCCCTCAATGATGAATTAAGACTCTATCCTTGGCAGGGTAGTTGTGGTGCACACCTTTAATTCCAGCACTTGGGAGGCAGAGGCTGGGAGATCTCTGTGAGTTGAAGGCCAGCCTGACCTACAGAGGGAGTTCCAGGACAGTTCCAAAGCTACACAGAGAAAAACAACAACAAAAGACTCCAACCTTCTGCACTGTCTTCAAAGTTCCTGACACAGCCTTACTCCAGCAGTTTCCAACCAGACAAGATCCCTTTGTGACTTAGTCTCCTGCCTTACTGCAGCTGTGCACATTGGGAGACCACAGTCACAAGCTGAATATGCACTACTCCAACTCTGTGAGAGACCCTGAAACTATCCTTCCCCATCATTACCACGTCCCCAGGCCTACCCTGGATTAAAAAAGGCTTGCCTATATACAAGCTGAGCCTATGTATAATCCCAACCTTTGTCCTCCTGTGCCATTCCCACAGTTTGAGTTAGGGTCAAGCTGCCCACTCTGATGAGTGATGAAGACCTAATTCTACCTGAGCACCCTAACAATCACAACAGCTTCCCATTCAGTCAAGCATAATAATTTCCCCAAAGCCTCAGCTGTCTTAACCCTCACCAAGTTCTCACACCAATATTGGCTCACATAGTCTGAGTAGCAGGCCTCTGTTTTCAATAATCAAAACTCCTGCTTCAGCACCTTCCTCACTGTAGGTCTAGTTTAGGTGAACCAGATCACTGACCAGCACACCCAGGTGAGACTACAAGACTCCTGACCTCAGGTGCCATCTGTATTGCCCGGTGCAGTGCCGGGATAAAAAAAAAAGCCAGACAGTAGCCAAAACTTGGTAAAGGTTCAGGACCATAGTCTCCCACAAAAATCTTTGAAACCTAGCTGTTGTCAAAAACCCTGCTGAGCCCCTGCTATAGCCAGAAAACCAAAATCTGGCCTAGATGGAGCTAAACATATGGTACACTATCCTAGCCTGTTGAGAGATCAAAATCCTCCTGTAATAAGCCGAAGCCTAGCTTGAGGTACACAGCCTGCACCAGAACCCAGCCTGGTGAATGACTCAAACTTGTGCAATTCCAGGATATCCCCATATTCTCAGGCATAGAATGGCTGAAGTACACTGGCCACCAACCTACCCTGGTGAGGGAGCAAGCCCTGCCTTCAAACAGGGCAGGAACCTGGAGTCAGGAGCGGCTGCAGAAACCATGGAGGAGTGCTGCTTATTGGTTTGCTCCCTATGGTTTGCTCAGCCTGCTTTCTTACAGAACCGGGGACCACCAGCCCGAGGATGACACCACCCACAAAGGGTTGGGCCCTCCCCCATGAATCACTAAGGAAATGCCTTACTGGCCTGCCTACAACCTGATCTTGTGGAGGCATTTTCTTAATTGAGGTTCCCTCCCCTCAGCTGACTTTAATTTGTGTCCAGTTGATAGAAAACTAGCCAGCACCACTCTCAAACATTTTTAGACTGACAGACATAGCTGGCTCCACAGAGTTTGCGCAGCAGCCCAACTTGGTGAGTTCCCAAGAACTAAGTCATTTTCCAAGCCATTAGAATACCTAAGTTCAATCAGAATGTGTCCCAGCCCTGCCTCATGAGAGCTCAAATTCCCGCAGGTATTATACCAATACTTTCAGGACTAGCTTTTAGACATACAGCCTGCACTCAAGCCCACCCTGGCCAGGGGCCAGGATCCTTTTAACTACTAGGCCATTGCCACATTCACAGGCCCCTCGTGGAGACAGATTAAGACCCCCACCTCCTGCACCACCCTGACAGTTCCAGGCATATTCCCATTCCAACAGCTCCCAGACCCTTGCGTTCCTGCACCTGCTCATAACGGGAATGAAGTTACAAGCACAGGCTGGGCATATACCCCCTCAATCAAGTGAGTAAACCCCAAGCCCTAACATTTCTCATCATTACCACACTCCCAGGCCTAACTAGGATAAAAAAAAGTCTGCATAAAAGCTAAGCCTATGAGTGAGGTTAAGTGGCCTGGTCACTAACCTTGCCCTAGCCAGTAATCAAGATTATCCTTTCCCTGACAATCCTCAAATTCCCATGCGTAGCTGTGGTCAAGAAGCTTTCCTGTTAGCCAAAGACACTGATTGCTCATGATGCCAACTGCCTTCACCTTCCCACGGTGCCATGGCAATAATGGATTACACAGCTTGAGTACCAGGCATCCCTGTTCAGTGATCAAGACTCCTGCTCTAGTGCCTTCCTCACACCCCCAGTTTGAGGCCTAGTTTGTCTGAAGAATATCTCTGACTAGCGGAGGATGGTGAGTTTCCCAGAATCTTGCCCCATGGTCTCTACTGCCAAATGCGTATCTGAGGTCATGCAGGCTGGGCAACAGCCCAGGCTGTTGAGTGCCCAGGACCACACCATCCTCATACTCATAGGCCTAGTTGTTTTCACAAAGCCTGATGGATTCCCAGTAAGTTGTCTGCCATAACCAGACTCACACTACCAGCTCTGCTTAGTTCGTACTGCCTGTGAACCATTCTAGTCTTGTGAGTGACCTAGACCCCTGCCTCTTGGGTCAGCTTTATATTCTAAGGCCTCACTAGGGTCAAGCAGCCTTCATACAAACCCTGCCTTGTGAGTGACCCAGACCACTACCCTCCTATACCATCCCCACAGTCTGAGGCCTAGGTGGGGATCAAGCACATCCTAGTGAATGATCAAGACCCCACCCTCATACACCATCTTTGCACCACCAGAACTAATTTGGATAACTCATTTTGCCCACCAGCTCTGCCTGGAAAGTATCTCAGAACCCTGCCACACTACACCATCACTACATACTCCCAGGCCTAGCTCAAGGTCACAAAGCCTGCATAGAGAATGGGGCATGAACATCAGACATACATCATTACATGACTTATACATATGGCATCTATAAAAGAGTCGATTTTGTGCAGTGAATATCTTCTAAAAATCTGAAAAATAAAACACAAGAGGAAGAGCTGCAACATGCTCTGGAAAGGAAGATGCAGTCAGGATGGAAGGTTCTTCACTTTAGTGTATTATGCAGCACTGTACTATGTGCTCAGACTATGTCTCCTCGGGTTACAGGAAGAGACTACTAGTGAAGAAAATGCATTTAATATTCACGCAACTATTAACACCGGACTTCAGCTATGTTGGAATATTCAAGGCCTACTGGGGTAAGGTTGTTGGGCTCCAATGGAAACATATTGTCCTGGCTGTTACTGATTGTGTTTTTACACTGGGATTGGGCTGATTATAGTTCTAGGTGCTGATAACTGGTTTTGTCTTTGTTGGATGGGTGTTTTGTTCCTTGGTTTCTGTTTCTTCTCTGGATTTTGGAGAGTGTGATGGCTGTGTATGGCCTGGTAGGAAATTTTCTGTGGACCTGTTTCCCTGGCCTGTTCAGCTGGTGTGTTTCCAGGGAATGCCTGCTGGTGTTGGATCCAGGCTGGGAAAATGGGATGAGTTGGGGAAAGGAAAGCTGAAGGAAAGGATCTTTGTGATCCCTTGGGGATGTGGTCGGAGGGGAAAGGGAGACCACAGCAGGCTTCCTGCTACAGAGCTGGGCATGAAACTGGGGCAGGAAGTCAGATCTGGAGAAGCAGCGGGATTGGTGGAGGTCAACAGTAGGCCTATGTGCTTCCCTAGCAGGAGAGGCCTCTGGGTTAGGTTTTTCCATCGAGAACAACAACAACAACAACAACAACAAAATTTTATATAGAGTTAAACTTTTTTGCAGTGTTAGAATTCAAACACAAGAACTAGTGTTAGAATTCAAACACAGTCATGCCAGGCAAGTGCTCTCTACCACTGAGTTGTTTCCAAGAGCAAAATGAGGTTTCTGAAATTAACTGGACACGAGTTCTTGAATTATGTGTGGTTCTTTACCATGAGCCTTTAGGCTTCTGTATTTAGGGATTTATGGGAGTTGGTGGTGTAGCTCAGTGGTGGAGACTTTGCTGAGCATGTGCTAATTACTGGCTTTCAACCCAGCACCAAGAAAAACAGAGAGTCGAGAGACAAGAGAGAGACAGAGACAGACACACAGAGACAGAAAGATATAAAGAGACAGAGTGTTAGAGTTTGAGAGAGAAAGTGTTAGAGATGTTCTAATGATCTCTCAGTTTTGAAGGCTGGGCTCCATGCAGTGTCTGCATTTTGGATTGTGATCACCACTAGGCAAGACATTACATATGGACTCTAAAGAAGATTCTTAAAAACAGAAATGTTGGGCCAGTGAGAATGTTGAGTGGATAAAAAAGCTGTGGCCAAGCCTGGTTACTTGTGTTTAATCCCTGAGACCCACATAGTAGAAGAGAGAACTGACTCATGCAAATTGTCCTCTGGTCTCCACATGTGTGCAGTGGCACCTACAAGTGTGTGTTCACATATACATACACACACACTCTATAAAATTGTAATTATAATTTTTATTAAAGTTGGATTTCTCAAGGTGATCATGGGGACAGCAGGACTCAGCAGAAAGTATGCTTTCAAGTCAAGCTTCCCGCCCTTGATGTCAGATCTAGCGGCCAAGAAACTATTCAGTTTAGGACCTAAGTTGTGGCTCAAATGTGTCTTAAAAGGCACCATTCTTCTACAAGCTGCCGTTTGCCACGCCTCACTCTTTTCCCGCCAAAGTAAGCCCCGCCCACAGCCGTTAGCCGAGAGCCAATGGGAGCCATAGAGACGAAGCTTTCTTACGTTGGAATGTCTAGCACGGCACTGTTCGGAGAATTCCAAACGGCTGACGGCCACATTCAGAGGCGCGAAGCCTCTGTGGACTCCACGTTCTCGCACCTTCTGCAGAACTCCAGCCATGGCTTGTAAGAAATACTATTTCGAACATGACATTTATGGTGTGGGCTTCTATGAAGAAGAAGTAACAAGTGAACTCCAGCAAAGGAGGGCTACAGCAGCAAATGCCAGCCACAGTGAAGAAGTTGCAGGCATCCTGGAGGAGCTGGGCCACCTAAATGCTGTGATTGACCACAACTACAACCGTGAAGAGAAGAACAGCACCCGTGGGAAGTCCCGTCAACCTGTACAAGGAAGGCAGGAGCCAGTTTTTCGGAAGCCAACCAGGTGTTGTGGAAAGCCGTACAAGTTCACTCCTGAACAACTACTTGAACTAGACAGAGTTTTCGAAGAAACTCAGTACCCTGATGAACTCAAAAGGTATGTATGTGACTTCCTTAACAGCCACTCTATCTTCAGGGCTTTAGGCTCCATTCCTCTTTCCTGGCCTCTCCTTCGATATTTTAACTATGTTCTAAAGACCAAACCTAAAGTCACAGACAAGTTCTGTACCACTGAGCTACTAACTTTTAAAACCCCTATTTGTCTGGGACAGAGTTTGAGCTACCTAGGCTGGCTTAACCGTACTCTAGCCCAGTCAGGTTTTAAACTGTTGATCTGCTTGCCCCAGCCTCCTCAGCAGCTGAGTTTTCAGTTGTACTCCGCTGGTCAGAAGGGCAGGACTTTTGCTTATTGTTGTGGTGGAAGTGAGAGGGATACCTTGTGGAGACCAAAGTCAAAGTTTTCATGTGGTTTTGTGTAAACCAAGTTTATAAAGCAATCATTGATCACTTCCTTTGTTTGCTTTAACTTTAAAATAGTCCTAAAACACAAAAACATAACACTCTCGGTCTAAACAATGTTTGTAATTTGGAATTCATCATCATGAAGTATTTTCAAGTTGTTTTGGGAAAGCAGAAACCTCCTTGTGTTGCCAAACTGAAATTCTGTGTCCCCTTTAAATAACTGCCATTCTCTCCCCTGGTCCCCATCTACCACTATTCTAAATTTTTATCCTCTAAATCTGATTTATTGGGGCATTTCATATAAGGGAAGACTTAAAGAGATGTTTGACCCATAATCTGCCCTTTTATGACTATTATGTTTAACTTAGCCTAATGTCCTCAAGGCTCATCATTGTGCTCATGCATATGGCAGAATTTCTGCTTTCCTACGGCTAAATAATGTTCCAAAAGGCACCTTTGCATAGATAGTGCATGTTTTATCACTCTCTGTGGAAGGAGATCTGGTTGGGTTGCTGTGCATATTTTGACAGAATAATTAAATTATTTATTTTGTGTACATGAACATATGTGGGCAGCATGAATGGAGGTCAGAGAACAAATTGAGAGGGCCAGGGTCTCTCCCACAATGTGCGTTGTGGGGATCAAATTCAAGTAGTTGGGCTTGGCAGCAACTGAGCCGTCTCACTAGCCTGAAAAATGCCCCCTTTAACCTTGAGTTTTCAATCTTTTGGGGTATATACCTAGAATCAGAATCATTGGGTTTAATAATTCTATGTCCATAGTTAAAAAGAACCACCTTTCTTCCTTCATAGCTATAAAATGTGATACTACATTTCAGAGAGTGTGGTGTCTCCAATGTTTCCAGGGCCTTACTAAGTAAGGCTTGTTAATTTCAGGATGTTGTCAATAGCCACACTTCTCGATGGGAGGCAACAGCACTGGACTTTTTATTTGCATTTTTTTTTTACTTATGAATGACTTTGAGCAACTTTTCTTGTGCTTAAGGCTATCATAAGTTATCTTCCTGGGTCAAAAGTCTCCTTAAGTCTTTAGTTATTGGGGAGGGGGAACACACATATGGCTTGGTGTATATGTGAAGTTCAGAGGACAATTTATGCAAGTCAGTCCTTTCTTTCTACCTTGTGGGTCCTGGGGATAGAATTCAGGTAATTAGGTTTTGCAGAAGTGCCTTTACCCACTGACCTACCTTGCCAGTCCCATCTCTTTAAGTCTTTTTCCTATTTTAAAATGTGTCTGCTTTGGTGGTTAGTTGCTCATTTGCAAATATTTTGTCTGATTGAATTGTTGCCTGTTTATTTTGATTATTTTATACACAGAAGTTTCTAAATTGGCTAATAATTTCCAATTTTATATGTACCAGGACTCTGCATTTGTATGTAATATTTCATCAAAATAATATTTAGGAGAATGAAATACTTTCACTAGCTGAGGCTGGTGGTGCAGCCCTTTAATCTTTCAGATACATGGGAGCCTAAGCAGGAGGGTGCAAGTTCCCCTTGCTGGAGAAAATGTCTAAGTTCTGGCTACAGAACTTAATGAGACATAGTCTCAAAATAGAATATGCAAAGGGCTGGGGATACATCCCCTGTCTAGCATGTTCAAGACCCTATGTTCAATCCTCAGTACCATCAAAAATGTGTAAGTTACATATTATAGATTTAGATTTAGACATTGTTGTTATTTATTAATGAAAGCATTAACCATTTTTTCAGATTGTAGAGATATTAAAATTTTTAATTTTGTAGGAAAGTGAAACCACCTCTAAATTATACTTTCCCTAAGAATTACAAAAAGAAGTATATTTGGGGAGAGGTGAATGGATATAGCAAACTTTAAAACATGCTCAGAACCAACTGGAGAGATGACTCAGTAGTTAAGAGAACTGGCTGCTCTTCCAAAGGACCTGGGTTCAATTCCTAGCAGCCACAATGTGGCTCACAACCATCCTTAACTCCATTTCCAGGGGATCTGATGCCCTCTTCTGGCCTCCATGGGTACCAGGCTTGCAAGTGGTGCAGAGACATACATGCAGATACACACATAAGACAAAAATGTAAAAAGTTTAAAGCTTACACAGAACATACAAAATATGCTTAATTTTACCATTAATGCCAAATATTAAAGCTTGATGTTTTTCTCTCCACAGGAAAGAGCTTGCAGAGCTCATTGATGTGGAAGAATGCACAGTGAAGGTCAGTCCATCTATCAGAGAAATATAGCCATGCACTCCATCTCAAACCTGTTTCAAGTCTTGCCGTAACATTGTAACATTGCTCTTTTTTCTTACCTGTTTGAATTGGAAAATGAGATTTGAACTAAGATCAGTTTGGGGCTGGAAATTGGGAATGATCTGTGGAGGGGGGGAATCTCCAATGAGTGTTTCTTTCCCATTACTGAAAAACAAAACAAAACATAATTTTCTAAGTGAAAAAGGAAAGCAAAACAACCTGATTCTCCTATTCCCTATGCAAAAGTAGTTGTGTTTATGTTTATATGTAGCTTATGAAGCATGCACATATATCAATAATACCATGTGGGTATTACCAAACTTAATATTCGACTCCTTACAACAACAGTGTCCTTCAGAGGGTACTTCTATGTAGTCATGCTAGAACTCCAAGTGACCTTGTAAGTGTTCAAATGGATACAGGGAGAGACAGGGTTACAAGAGGGTTTAGTTCTACTAAGTAATTAGAAACCAAGCATGTGTACTTAGCTAAAAGAAGGCATTAATAAGCATGTTGTGGATGGCAGAGCTGGAAAGCTGGGGCTGTTCATGCCCTTTGGAGCCCAGAATACTGTGAGTCCCAGATGTTGAACATTTAGCTACAGGATTTGTATTTACACTGGTATGTTTTTGTTTTGCTTACCTGTGATTGTTCATTTGCTATGCCCCAGTTCTTCCTTTTGGAATAAGAATGTTTAAGTAGGTAACTTTTTGTTTGTTTAATTTCACAGGAGCTCAGAGTTAAGATGCTTGGACTTTAAGGCACTGGAATTTTAAAAGCTGTGGTACTTTTAAGTCATACTGTATTTTACATTATGCTATTAACATGAGACTTTGGGGACAAGGGATGGAATATTATGGCTTAAAGTAATGTATTTGTGTGTCCAAGTTGACAAGGAGTGGATTGTGATATTTCTGGAAAGAGAGTCTTAGTGAAGTATTATGTAGATTGAGTTATCCTGTGGGATGTTTGTGGGGATTTTCTTGATTGTTAGTTACTGTGAAAAGACCCAGTCCACTGGAGGGCAGCACCATGCCCTGGTTTGTGGCACTGGATTGTATAAGAGTAGAGAAAGCTAGTTGAACATTAGCAAGCAAGCTAGTGTCCATGTATTTATTCTCTCTGTGCTCTTAATTGTGGACATGGTGCTTTAAGTTTCTGTTTGACTTCCCCTTAGTGATGGGCTGCAAGCTGGAACTGTAAGTCAAATAAACCCTTTCTTCCATAAGTTGCCTTTTGTCAGGCACAGAAATGAAACTAGAATACATGTTGATTTTTTGTGATTGTTGGATATGGTGGTGATAGGGTGGAAACCAGGAACTCACACAATATAGGCACATCCTAGACCTTGAATGTTACTTGCAGCATTGTAAAGGATATAAGTAATTATAAACTAGATTCCTCTGTAAATGAGAGAATTTCAGTAGCATGTGAAGTTGCATGACATGTTTTTTCATCAAAACATCAACTACTTACTATGCTAAAGCAATGTTTTTGTTGCTCTGATTTCAGGTTTGGTTCAATAATCGGAGAGCCAAACTTAAGAAAGATCAGAGGGCATTAATGCGCAAAAGCACCCCTCCTGGTAAACATAACCTGAAGATTTTGAAGGAAACCAAGAATGTCGTTGTTCTTCAGGAGCCTCTTAGGGATGACTTTTTCTTCTATGAGCCACACGTTGGCCACCCAAATTGGCAGTGACAACATTATCTCTTTATATAAATTAGCAATAAAGAGCAGAATTCTCTGAGCAATTGCTTCATGCGTCCTCTTTTCTTCCTCATAGAAAATAGGAAAAATTCATTCAATTGAATGCAGAAAGCAGACTAGAAGGGGAGATCCAACCTGAGATCACCATAGTGACCGTACGCCCCCAAGCAGTCACTCTTCTATTGCTGTGAAGAGACACCATGACCAAGGCAGCTCTTATCAAAGAAAGCATTGAACTGGAGGCTGCCTTACAGTTTCAGAGGTTTAGTCTATTATCATCATGGTGGGGAGCATGGAGGCATGCAGGCAGGCACTGGAGCAGTAGCTGAGAGCTACGTCCTGATCCATAGGCAGAGAGGGAGACACTGGCCTCAAATCCCCCACCCTCACCCCATGACACACTCCCTCCAACAAGTTCATACCTCCCAATCCTTCTAATCCTTTTCAAATAATACCACTCATTGATGGTTAAGCATAAAAATATATGAGCCTATGGGGCCCATTTATATTCAAACCAACCTTTGAGTCAGTATGTACCCCCTCTTCACTCCTCAGTGGTGGTGTAGAAGCCCAGCACCACCACACCTGAGAATAGGATGTCAGTGACCTTGCCTGCTGAGCACCAAGCCCACTTCATCTTAGTGGTTGGAAATGTCCAGAGATTGAGGACATGAAGATGACACCAGTAGTGGCAGCAATGATATGGGTCTAAGAACAACACATTGAACACAAAACCAGACAACTGCCCGGAGGTAGCTAGTAAAGAGAGGAAAAGATTGAATCAGAATTTGGGGTTTTGAGAGGAACAAAGCAGGTGGAAAGAGATAGCTTCTTGCCTATAGTACCCTCTAGAAGGGAAACAGCCTAAAACAGAACCAGGGAGGGTGGATGAATGCCCTGACCTGCCTTAAGTGGCTGCCAAGGGAAGCTGATCACAACTGGGGTGTAGTAGACTCTCAGCTAAAACACTGCACTGGATACTAGATCCAGAGGGAGCACAAGGGAGGTGAGGCCCTTGCAATGCCCTTCTTCCTGTAACCACAAAGGGAAATTCCAAACAAGTGCAAGCTGTAGGTAAGACTTGAAGAAAAGTGTATGTGAGCCCCACCTGATAACAGAAACTGTTATGGTAGGGCACATCCAAGGTTCTAAACATTGCTCCCCAATGACCACATTTGCTCCTGCTGTCAGTATAGTCCAGTGGATCTTTTCAAAATGAGATAGTTCTTGAGACCCTTCAAGGGTTTTGTAGGGAAGACTTAAGAAACAGTGGAGAGACAGAAGGAGCTTTCCCTCAAATCAAGAGATTTGTTGGCAATGTTTCCACCAAAAGAGGAGCCAAGTAGAGCCAGGCTGTGACTAATTGGGACATTCTAGGAAGGGGAGCAAGTATGTTTGATGGGAGTGTGTGGGGGTGGTGGTGGTAGTAGGTGGTAGTATGGTGCTTAGACCAAGGTCAGAAGGAAATAATTATTTGCTCAGGCAGTGTGGTGGGGAAGAGCAGGACTGAGGGGGCTGGGAAGGCCAGGGTTGTAGGAGCTTGACAAAGCTGCTCAGTCCCACAACAAAGCTGCTCTTCCTTGAGGAAGGAGCTTGTAACACTAAGTTCTCAAACTCCAACATAGAAGGCTACTGGAAATGGCCTCCTCTTTGTCCTTATCCAGGATTTTCAATTTGTCCCTGCATTTCTTTGCCTGAATTGTGGGGCTTTTCTGGTCATTAACAGAGTACTAGTTTGGTTGGCTATGAAGTGTTGGCCATTTACCAGATCCCTGCTTACTCTGCCAGCACCATCCTGGGACTAGAGCCTGCTTCTCAGGCTCACCTCAGTCTTACCAGTTTTGCCCTTCCTGCTTGGAGGCCAAGAGCTGTGTGCAATTCCAGCCAGACTCTGTCTTGCCTTTCTAAGCATCGGGTAAGACATTCTTAATGTCTTCTTTTTCTGTGGCTCTGGGGATGGAACCCAGTGTCACACTCATGAAGCCATCTACCACTGAACAATACTAATAGCCCCATAAAGTATTTGATCCATGAGGTTCAACACCACAGCTTCAAGTCTCAGTGGCATCTGAATGCTTGTTTGTTTTCTCTATAGTGATATTTATTATTCAAAGGGTTAAGTGGACCCCTTTCCCCCCGTGATTTCAGGCATGGTTTAACAATAGGAGCTTCATGTGGTGTGGGTAAGATAGAAGAAACCAGTGCTCATGGCTACAGCAGCTGAGTCCCAGGCCACATTTTCCTGATGAGTATGGAGGAACCCTAGAGAGCCATCCTTGTACCACCATTCTAATGCTCTCTGTGATTGATAAGAAGAGTCAAGAGCAGGTCTTTATGCCTGGGAGCCATGAGCCAGAAATTCTAGGCCACAGGCCTCTTTAACGTGGCCTGTGGGAGCACACTGATGGAAGGAGGCCTGTTTTGTATAGTGTATCTTCATTCAGAGTGTAATTGGGGCCTTATTGGACTAGAGTTTCCACAGGCAATTCCACACTATGCTGAAAGTCCCCTGAAGGCCTGGTGTCAGAGGAGGAAGTCCTCCTCCAGGAGAGCTCTTCCCTTACAGCTCTGACCAGAGTTTCCCAGAGAATCCACACATGCCTGTGCCCTCCCCCTTGTTTTCTCTGTGCTCTTCTCTATTTTAGGCTGACAGCTGCCACTGAAGGCAGCTCTTGACACTTTGGATCATTCACACAAATCATTGCAGGGTCCTACACACAACTATTCAAACAGTGCAGAGATGTCATACCAGTAACAGGGCTCAGCAGTGCTCACATCCTGCTTCAGGGAGGGGTTAGTCTGAAGGAGAGTCAAGAGATCTTAGGCTCATGGAAGTCAGGGACTGTCTGATATAGAAATGTATGATATAGAAATGATAGGACAAAAGGATAGATTATTAAATCTACTTTAATCCAGAAAACAACTATTGATCTTACATATTTTATGTTAGTATAGATTTGGGTTATTGATACAAATTTAAAGTTAATTTTGTTATACTGTATGTATATTACAATTTTTGTTTAAGATATTATGTTTATGCAACTCGTTTAAAATTATAATGTATAACTAAGGAATACAGTTTAATAGTCATCTAAAATAATCAAATGTATAGTCATGTTAGTTAAGTTTTCTAGGTATACATAGATATATTTCAATTAGGTATGTAATCTTCAAACACTTCAAAGACCTACAGAATATGGCATTTAAAATGTTTTAAAAACTTATACTTGGGCCGGGTGGTGGTGGCACATGCCTTTAATCCCAGTACTCGGGAGGCAGAGCCAGTCTGATCTCTATGAGTTTGGGGCCAGCCTGGTCTACAGAATGAGATCCAGCACACGCACCAAAATTACATAGAGAAACCCTGTCTTGAAAACAAACAAACAAACAAACAAACAAACAGCTTAGACTTTTCTAGACAGTGAGACACATCTGCTCCTGGCAGCACCAATTACTTCAGAGATGATGTTGGGCATCAAAGAAACTCCATATGGAATTTGCTTTCTTTAATGCAAAAGTTAGCCATTTGGGGAAGAAACTGCTCTTTCCTGGACTGCTTGACAATAAACTGTATAAACTGGACATGCAGGATCCATAGGAAAGTGACCACTGAACTTTGCCAAATCAAGGTTTCTGATTCACAGAAGAAACTGCCAGACATTCTGTAGGACACAGAAGAAAGTGACTGATGAACTTTGCCAATAAGAGAGACAATCCTTCAAATTTTCTTCTTCACTAAAATGTCTGTCAGATACTCTGGTCTGTAGGCTGAAAATGTATGCCCCAACGTTCATTGTAGAGGAACTTTGGGTGACTGTCCAGGCAGCCAGCTGTCTCTGTCATTCTAGATTTTTGGAAGTTGCTTATAATGCACTTCCTGTTTACTTAGGTTATATTATTTCCTTCTGGTGTCTTTGATGTAGTTGAAGACTAGATAGTTGTAATTATAGTTTTTCTTAGTCATAATAAAAAATAAATTAGATATGAAACTTTAGACTCACAAATATAGGATAGATGATAGAATGCTTTAATTTTTCCAAATACAAATAGACTAGATATTATAACTGTAATTCTTGCTTGTTAACTGTTTTGTTATATGTAATTTTACTATGTTAAAGTTAAAACATTCCTTTTTGATTAGACAGAAAAGGGAAAGTGCTGTGGGATGTCTTTCTGTACATTGTGAATATATGTTGTTCTCATTGGCTAATAAATAAGCTACTTTGACCTATGGAAATGCAGTGTAGAGGCAGGCAGGAAAGCCAAGCAGAGATAAGGAGAGGAGAAGGGCAGAGTCAGGAGAGACTCCAGCCTGCCTCCAAAGGAGCAACAAGATGCCAGCAGACTTGTAATGCCACAGCCACATGGTAATACATAGATTAATAGAAGTGGGTTAATTTAAAATGAAAGATCTTGCTAGCAAGAAACCTGAGCCATAGGCCATACAGTTTGTAATTAATATCAAGCCTTTGTGTTTTATAAGCGGCTTTAGGACCACAGGTGGTAGAGATTTGTCCGGACTTCTGGGCAAGGCAGGACTGGAGAAACTTCTGACTACAATGGTCCCTTTCAGAGGGGCATAATTCTTGATCCTGGAGTTGTAGCCCACCCCCCAGGATCTAGAACATTGTAATTATTACAAATGGCTGTTAAATTGTTAACTTAAAAAAATTAAAACGAATAACAACTTGTTGACTTCGATTTATAAAGGAGGAAAAGAGCCCTTCCTAGGGAGGTTATCCAAAGCAGGACCAATGAAGGAGGAAAAAGAGGGAGTCCAGAAAAAGGAGTACTCTGAGATCCTTTAAAACTTTCAACCCAGAGGCACCCTAGAGGACTCTCAGTTCTGGGGTCCTCCCATCCTCAAGGGAGCTGTTTTTCTGCTCTCCTAAAGTTTGCAGTTTCATTCTCTTTCCTCTCTGTGTGGCAGTAGCTCTGTTCCTCATGTCTGTGGCCCTCCTGCCTGCCTGTCATGTTCACTTCCCTGGCAGA